AGCTTATTGACCAGACAGATGGAGGGTAAAGTATAAACGTATAGAGAGCTGCATGAACTAAGTGTATGTCTTCTTTGTGATTTATATATATATATATATATATATATATATAATATAATTAAATCAATCAGGATAAATAGGTAGATATTAACAATAACTTCTGATCAAAGCATACTACATACATATATCAGAACTAAAAAAATATTCAATAAATAATGTAGCTAATTCAATACACTAGGAGTATGAAATAACCTTAAACTAAAACTTACAACAATTAAAATGTATTGATTTAACAACTGATTACCCTGGCTGTTATCCACATTTTCGGCCATAATCCTAATAATATCTCACGAGATAAATAAATACATAGACATTGGCAGCGCTAAATTCATACACACACAATTAAGAACAAAACAAACATTATTCTATATCTCTTACTACTAAACATCGTTAAAATGACACCAGTGCTTTTATTGTCAGCATCATCACCTATTATGTTTAATTATTACTGGCGTAATCTTGCGGTTTTCTTTGGAAGCATAACAAACTATATCCATCTTACAGAGATAGATTTAAATAGTATGTGGTTTTGGTTACGGTTTAGAAAAGATTACACCATGACCTACATATTGGGGGAGCTCCCGGTGTCTTAAACCTATGCACGTGTAAGTTACTTCAAACAAGTAGGGCAAAAAGAAAAAAAGTGCTACACATAAAGGACGCATCAACAAAACTAGGATACAAACCACAATGTATGATTGTAAAAAGTATACCTTAGTCAGAAAGGTATCTGGGAAGTAGAACCCACACAGCGCGGCAGAAATATGTTTTCATCATTAATTAAAAATTAAGAACATATAATGGCGATTAATCCCGCATCATCCCATATCTGAAACTTCTATTAAACTTCTCCAGCCTATTTTGTTTAAGTTGCTGCTTCTTTTAAGAAATAAAAACGTACACAAGGGAAAGAAATTCGGGCAAATGAGAGATTACTAAGAATAGAGCATTGTGGGTGATTAGTACACTTTATCTCCTTAAGTTGTTATTAAGAGAAAAAAAAACCATTCAGTTGCATAACCAATCATACTAACCAACACGCATGTGCAGCTAGATACACAGTTATCTTCATATGCGATGAGGATAAAAGAATTAACGAAGAACAGAAACGGCTTGTATAATAAAGAAATGTGTTCACTTTTGCGATTTTTAACAGTTTTAAGTAAAACGCCATTCTGTGCGTGTAAGTGTAGATTTTAAGAAATATCACTGTGTAAATAGTATAATAACAATCAAAGGCCTGTGATGAAAAACATATAGCTAGATCAAACAACCATGCTTACTTATCCTGATACCAGATAAAGTTTGGTAAAAATATTGTTTTGTTATTGGGGATTTTCCTATCCAAGTATTCTGAAAAGGTCAAGCGCTTACACCTATTACAAAATACAAAAACAATTTTGATGAATAAACAGTTTTTGAGAGTGAAAGAAATCATATTGGTAATGGAAATATTCTCTTATCTATAACGATATGTAATAGTACATTATAATGTATATATGTCTGAACGTAACCTTATATTACCAAATCGCTAGCCACTACTTGTGCTTGTAATTTTTGTGGTCAATCTTGATTGCATTGTCACATGATTAGCCAGAATTTGTACTTGTAATTTTGGTTGGTCTTAGTTGTATTATTACATGACTAGACGGAATTTGAGCTTGTAATTTTGGTTGGTCTTGGTTGTATTACCACATGATTAGCCAGAATTTGTACTTGTAGTTTTGGTTGATCTTAGTTGTATTATTACATGATTAGATAGAATATGTGCTTACAGTTTCGTTTAGCATTACTTGTATTACCACATGATTAATTAAACTTTGTGCTCTCAATTGCTTTTTATATCTGGTTGTATTATCACATGATTAACCAGAAGTTGTGCTTGCAATTTCGTTTAGCCTAGGTTGTATTACCACATAATTAACCAGAATTTGTTCTCGCAGTTTTGTTTCGATTTGGTTGTATTATCACATGATTAGCCAGAAGTTGTGCTTGCAATTTTGGTTGGTCGTGGTTGTATTATCACATGACTAGACGGAATTTGCACTTGTAATTTTGGTTGGTCTTGGTTGTATTATCACATGATTAACCAGAAGTTGTGCTTGCAATTTCGTTTAGCCTAGGTTGTATTACCACATAATTAACCAGAATTTGTTCTCGCAGTTTTGTTTCGATTTGGTTGTATTATCACATGATTAGCCAGAAGTTGTGCTTGCAATTTTGGTTGGTCTTGGTTGTATTATCACATGATTAGCCAGAAGTTGTGCTTGCAATTTTAGAAAGTGCTGGTTAATAACTTTCTGCAATTAGAATATGGAATCTACGTTCGTAAAGATTTAATACCTCAACACTGTACAGCCTAAAGGTATCAAATAAAATAATTCGACCAAAAATACAAGAAAGATAAAAAGAAACAATTTTAAAAAGTTTACGAATTTCTCCGTTCATTATGCACTTGACTAGGCCATCTAGAATCATATACTGACAAAATGATTTTCCAATATCTTAACAAAGAAATCTTATTATATTACCAGCTCTTAACTTTCTTAACTAATGAAGAAAACCTCACCTCACAATTATCTTCACCGAACTTAATGTTAGATAGTTTAACTTGCAAACATTACGTCATTAAAGTTACTGAAGAGTATGTGTTAACAATCTTTGTTGTTTCATTTCTTGGTTTTGAATATAAAAACTCTAATTATAAAAACTGTTATAAAAGTACACCTATTTAAATAAAAAACATAAAATGTTGCGAATAATGTTTTTTACTAGGTAATGAAATTACTTAAAGTAATTCAATTTTTTTAGTTTTACGCCTATGCTTTGTTTGAAGTTAAGCACAAAGCTACACAAAGGGCTATCTGTGCTCTGCCCACCACGGGTATCGAAACCCGATTTCTAGCGTTGTAAATCCGTAGACATACTGCTGTGCCACTGGGAGGCACTACTATGCTATAGAAGAGTTTAAAAATGGATTTATATTGTAATCAATAGATGGCGCTGGAAGATGGGTTTTTTTTTTACACTAATCGAGTGGATAGTAACTTTCAAGACATAGATTTAAATATTTTATATGTTCTTCATAACTAACCTTCACGTTATCCAGATAGACGTCATAAAATTATGTTTGAAATCTCTTTGTAAAGAAGTGTTTTTCGTAATTAGTGATGTTATGATACTTGTTTGAACATCTTTCAACTGATCGTTGAATTAATTCGTGTTTTATGAAACAAACATCGTGATGATCTTTGAAGTATATTAAAAACATGCAATTTTTCAAAATTTTACAGACAAGTTACTCATTTTTATTTGTTATTTCTCAACACATTACCAAACTGAATAAGACCTAATCATAGTTTCATATTATTATTTCCGTTTTGAAGAACTACAAACTAAATTTTCACGGTTTAACAACATCTTCTATTAACTCACATTACAAGGTAATTGAGCAAAAAAGCCAGTTAACATTAACATTATAATATTTATCCAGTTACTTAAATACTAATGCATGTGATATAATTAAAATACAAAAATTAAACCCCAGTATAAATCAAAAAGGTGGTTACAGATTCAGAGTTACCGGTAGTTCGAAGGAAAAAGGCCCGGCATAGCCAGGTGGTTAAGGTACTCGACTCGCAATATGAGGGTCTCGGGTTCGAATCCCTGTTACCCCAAACATGCTCGCCCTTTCAGCCGTGGGGGCGTTATAATGTGACGGTCAATCCCACTATTCGTTGGTAAAAGAGTAGCC